GACGTGTGCTCTTCCGATCTCCCCAAAACCCCAAAACCCCGTTAGACATTAAAATAGAGTGATCTTTAAATGTATTAAGAAAATAAATTCTTTGCTTTTTTAATTTAATTTTACAAGGATTGTAGAATAAAGCAATCAATAATAATTAAAAGGGAAATTCCCTCCTCCTCATTAATTGATGCTGTCTTCTTGCTTAATGGATGGTTCTCTGAAATTACTATTTGAAACACCTGCAAAATTACCTACTGAGATAGAAGGTAAATTTTGACGTATTTGGTCTCTTGCATTGATAATAATATACTATTCCTAATTAAATTTTGAATCATGGTCATCTCCCAAAAGAGGAAACTCATCATATATCTCGCAAGATTTAAGTTTGGAAAGATTTTTTCTGTTCATTAGGAATCTATCCTTTGGATTTGATATTAATTTTGTTTCAGTTTGACGCGTTGGGAGGCAATTCTTATTTTGATTCAATTTAATAGCGTATTCTTTAGTCAATTTTGTACCGCCAATTATTTTGACATTTTATCCAGTTTGAATTAGGTTTTCTCCATCTATGATATCAGAATAAGATTTTTAATTTTCACTTGTTAATGAATCCCAAGTATATTTTTTTTGCATATCATTTGAATTGGGAGAGTTCGTTGATTACTTGGATTGAGAAGTCTTTACCTTGCGTTCTTTCATTTAGAAGGCGTCCTTATCAGTTTACTCTTATTGAATTATTGCAAGTATTCTAGGATTTACAGCTGATTTAACCTGTTACTCTTGATGTTAAAGATTTTATAATTATTTGAGTAATGGAGTATATGGCGATTATGGCTCTGATTTCCCTTCAGATTAGCATCTTTCTCTGTCTTTTTCAATTACTGGCAGAGGGGAGTTTGACTCCATAAGCTATGGCTGATTAGAACTTTGGGAGAAGCGTGATTTCTTGAAATGACCCTTAACAGGCACCTATAAGGATTTGAGGGATTTCATGATTTAATTGTATAATAGCTCAAAATTTATCAAATTAAAATTTTAGTAGCCTTTTCCAACCCTATTATTTGTGGATTATGTCATTATAATATACTCTAAATGCAACTTCAAAACTTTAACAACTTTTCATTCAGGGGTTTTGGGGTTTTGGGGAGATCGGA